TTTTTACGTCAACTGAGTAGTGTGCCTTGAATTCGGTTCTGAAGGCTAATGGAAATATCAATGAAGACTCGCATGAATATTAATGATGCCATTTTTACCAGCTTCGGGCAGTAAATTGCTGTCTCCCACTAAAGAATCCTGAATGACAGTCGAAGTTTTTCTGATTAAATATTCATGCCTGTGGTTGTAATAAAAGAACATTTGGGATCGTTAAAAGCCCGTTACCTTTCCCCTGTATTTATTATCTTTCAACTTTCTTCTTAACACTAGATTTCGTCACACAGATATTGATTTATTAATAATGAATAATGGTGATACAGGCTTAAAAAGAATAAAGCGAAAGCAAGATATATGAAGAGGATTAAAGTGGGTCAATTTGAATTATCCCTCTAGAGATCTCAGCAATTAGTGTTTTAAGTAGACGCTAATAATTGTTGGTAAGGGATTAGTGTTATTTTATCAAGGATATGAAATCATATTTTATTTTTGTATAAGTTTAACGAATACTTCAAGACAGGTTCCTTCATTACATTGACCTGACGTGAATTAATAACTTAAATTTTCGCGTTTATTTAACAAGCCAATAAAGTGCTGTATTGCTTATGATCTGGGAATATTTCCGAATTACCAAATTTGCGGTCTCTTTAATCTTTTAAACTACGCAGTGTAATGAGCTTTAATTAAAAATTAAGTAGTAATTTTAATTAAACAAAATATACTATTAATCAGCAATAAAATATACAATAGTATACTTTGTTGCTGATTAAAGCTTTTCCCCTTTATCCAAAACGATTTTAATAAATGCACTGCTTTTTTTTTAAATATTCTTTTCTAAAATATGGTTTTGGTTTGGTATATTTAATTACGGCAAAGCCTCGAGGGCTATCTGCCTAAGGGGAGGGATGCCTTCGTGGAGGACTTTCTAAGGGAAACTGGCTCGTATACGTGTTACACATGGGGAAAACCACGAAAACGTTCATGCAGCCATGCCCTCGGAAGGATTCGAACCTCGGACCGAACTACCAGTGTTCAGCGACTTCACCGCTCGGCCGCTGGTGGGCTCTTTCTAAAATATGAAAATTTTCATTTTTTCTTTTATAAGACTTCTGTGTTCCCAAGCATTTAGCCTCATAAAACACATACATCTAGTACCGACTTATTGCGATCTACGTTCGTATCAGGGTTCTGAAAAAGCTATTTCCGTAAGAAAAAAAATCTAATTATGATACAATAATAAATAAATACATACAATTATGAATTAATGGGTAATTAATTACGTTAAAAATTATAGTTACGCATCTTAATGTGTATTGAATTATACAATAAGAAAGACATCAGTTTTTTGTGCCATTCACTTAATACACAACAATTTAATATAATATAACATAAAAATGTGTGTAATATATTAAGTTTAAATAGCTGTGACTGCCTTCTTCAGTGTAGTTCTTTTGCGCCTCGGCAAATTAATTACATATTATGCAAATGTACAATAAGCATATTTTCTATGTACTGAGGAATCTGCTTAAAATACCAATTTCTTGCAATGTAGATATATCTAGTGCGTACTTAAATAGAATGTTACTAATTTTTCTTATGTAGCCACATAGGAAAATCTATGTACATCGTGTCCATGTAGTTATTGTGCAACCAATATTTTCTCAAATGTTGGTCGAACTTTCAGTTAGGAAAATATTTTCAATGACGTAAATATTCATATTATTGCATGTTTATGTTTCAAAAATTTCAATTTTGTTAAAATTATGAAATCTAGTTTTTTTATATTGCCTCCAGGCTCATAAACACTGAGAAACTTCAGCAACTTCTCTGATTTTGTCTGCAATTCCGCAAAAATTCAACTGGGAGACATGAAATTCATACTTCAGATGCTCAGTGTAGTGCTAAAAAAATTAGGAAAGTATAGTAACAAAACTCTGAATATAATGCATACAGTACCGAAAGAATAGAAAAAGCCTTTATTGACAGAATGGCGTTGATACAAGAAAACTGTCTGTCCTGCCTGTCTAACTAATATTTGAACTAATATTTGCAATATCTTTAAAAGGACATAATTTTAACGTCTAATAAAAGTATTTTAAGAAATTCATTGATAAGTTCGTTTTTTTAAACGAGAAACATAAAACATTCTTCTAATTGAAAATATTTTCTTAAGTAAATTTTTATTCATTTGATGACATTTATGTTATAGGCTTTTATGTAGCTTGAAAGCTTGAGTATTTAAGAATTATTCTTCGAGAACTTCGTGGGTATGAAAACTGACTTACTGCGATCAATAAACTTCCGAGAAATTGCCATTTAGCGCTGGATCTGTCAATGGCTAAGTGGCCGATGCCTCGGAAAGCTGGCATTTTATCTCAGGTTCTGTTACCTGCAACTTTCAACGTTGGCGTAACTGCAGGGGCACTTTCAACGTTTTCTTCATATGGAATGCAAGAAACCTTTTCAAACCTTACACTAAGGCATCGTTTTCCTAATCTGATTTCTAAGGCATATGGCTATGATGTGCTATGACATAGTTAATTAAAATGCCTGATATCATCTGAAGTTAATCTGATATCATTTCCAAATGTAGAAGGAAGAATTGTGGTATATCATTTATTAATTAAGATGATATGACATTATATTCTACTCTCCGCCTCCAATTAGGAATATTTTTTCACTTCTTAAATTATTAGGAAGTTTTTAATAGCATAAAAATTGTCAGTTCTTTAAACTTTTTTGGGACGAATCTTAATTCATACTCCGTTTATATCCGCTGTCAGTTTTCTGAAGAATCCATAATTTAACTGCCTTTTTTACAAGAATAACAGCATATATCTGTGCATTCATTTTAAGACAAGAATGACAATATTATATATTATTGCTCATTAAAAGTAGTGTAATAAAATTTTAAATTTAAAAAAAGTATTAGCAGGGAAGTTCATTTGTAAATATAAATATAAAAACTTAATACTTTTTGCAAAAGGATGAGACTGTTGTGAGTAATTATTTTTGTTGTAGAAATGAAATTGTTTTGTTAATTTTTCTCTTAAGAAAATTTTTATCTTCCATATTTGATGTCCTAAAAATAGTAAAATTTCATACAAGTCCGATTTGCAAAATACGCTCTTCGTATTTTATTTTATAATATATGTTAATAATTGACTTTCCATTTATAAACTAATGTTATCAGGTTTAAAGACTACTCTAATATGTTCATTTCGACATAACATATTCATATTCATAAAGAAATTTTTCTTTTCCATTGATCTCGTAAACCCTAAAATTAATAATCTTAAAATTTTTTCAATCATTTTCTTTATGTTGTTTTTAATCATATTTTTTAAATAAAAACGGCAGAAAAATCATTTCGAATTCCATTTTTATTGTTTGTAGCATTAAATTTGGCTTTCATATTTTCTAAAAGGTCTATTTAAATACCAAATTATCACTTCTTTCTCCTGTTATCAGAAACTTTCGTAATATGCTCACCCAAATCTGGTTGTAAATTATACCGTCTTCTCGGGAACTTTTAATTCATCTCCAGATTTCAATACCACTAAACTAAATCATAGTAGAGAACGTAAATTTTGTTTCACCGCTGTGAAAGATTCTTACTTTCAAGTTCCAAAAACTTCAATTACATTCGTGCTGCTTCAAGTATTCCAGCAATGGGACCAGACACAAATGCTAATCCCATAATTAGTATTCCTACTATTATTTTAACAGGTGATCGAAGGTAAGTATTATAGTAAGTACAACTATAGTTTACGTAATTCTTAAGCTTTAAAACTTTAAAACTTATATTCCTAAAACTTACTGAAAAAGTGTTTAGACAATAAAATTGGTTCAGTTATTATCATATCAAAATTGTGTACTCAATTGTAAGAGTCTCAAACTCTTAAATGAAAGCTCTTTTATCAGTATCTGATTTCTTTAGCCGTTGTTCAGTTGTTCTTTCAATTGGTCAAAAATTCGTTAACATTTCAACTATTACTAATACTTATTTGGTATGCATACCATTCCATAAGTTCACAATTTAAGAATCAGATTTTTCCTTCCTGCTGTTTTTTCTAACTTAGAATGTATTCATATCCATTAGCCACAGAGTTAGTCACCAGAATTTACATTTATTTTCTATAACACGCACTGTACAAAATTTCGCTTAATTTGTTTGTAAATTCTGGAATATTGTCCTTCTTTAATCGTGATTTTTTAATGATGTGTCGCTTTTGCAAATTAAGTTTTTAATTCTTCGTGACAGTTTTAATTACACTATTTGAATGCAAACTCTTTAAAACATTCTCTAACTCGCTCAGTTTACTGCAGCTTCTCACTCACAGAAGGTAAGAAAACCGAATTAATAGATTGCCAATGATTAATTTCGTTCCACATTTGAAAACTTGACAATAAAAAGGGTTCTCAGAATTTCTGTAATAGGTTCTCTCAACCAATTATTTTAGAACATTTGCTTAAAACTACAAGATAGTACTTCTTGGTTACTTTAATTTTTAGGACGCGGCTTGTACACAAATCCCCATTAAAAGTGATAATGCTCTGAAAAGTGTAGTTTATTTTATTTCGCAAAATTAGTAATGCATTATCTAAACAGTGCAGTTAATTAACCTAATTATTATAATTTAAGTTTTATGTTGTTATTGTTTTTCTTACGGAGTAAGTTTATTGCTAAAATTTCAGACTCATCTGCAACTTTTCCGGATTATAAAAATAATACTTATTATTTCAAATTGCGGAAAAATAAATTTCAAAAATATTGCTTCATGCTTTACAGATTGTGAATGACATCAGCATTAAAATTCGACTGTAAATAAAAGGGAAAGTCCTTATTAATAACAGTATAAAATATATTATTAACTATTTTATCTAAACTGAAATCACTATAAATGCTGTTTCTTAAGAACTTTAATCCAGTATATCGCGAAGGCTAGTAGCTATGCCCTTTCAGTTTGCTCAAACAAGAAGCTAAAATAATTACGTTTTTTAGGTCTTTCCAATGTTCTGCTTGCCGAAATGGTCTGTGGAGTCAGAAGACTTTCTAAAACGTTCGGAATCTTAAATAATATGTGTTTTCAATGATATCTGTCGAGGTAAGAATTGTCAAAGAATATCTCTAATCGAGGTAAGAACTGGTTTCAATACTAATATTTGAAAGTATTTCTTTAACACAATAGAAACAATTTGAAGCTCTATTTAACAATTTAAAATCAGTTTAAAATATTAAAAAATTGTCACGCAGATAAAAATAATTTTTGGCTATTCATGCAATTAAACTGCGGAAAATTTATTTTACTGAGGAAATGCGGCTCATTTTTTTAACTCTCATCAGAACAATGCGAAATGGCTTAATGGTAAATGCTTTGCGTACCCTCTCATTCAGTCAGCTTCTCCATTTCTACTGCAGAGAGTTAATTTTGCTAGTTAAAGGTTGCCTTTGCTTTTCCATCAAATCTCACTTCAGTTAATGTCCAAAAATATCACGCCTATGCTATCGCACACCCGTTCATTCGTTTCGTGTATAAAAACTGTCAAGTAAGGATAAAGCGCACAGCCGGGAAGTCTTCATTGCGATCAAACGGAAGAGAGAAGCAACAGCAAATATCCAAAACATAATATAACTGGTTAATTAACATAAAGGAGCCTTACAATATAAGTTTCTTGTTTATATATTTTCTTCTACGTTTCTTATCTACGAGCATAGGCTCCAAGAAAACACAGTAGTCAAACGACGAATAAAAAAGCAATTTCTTCATTAAAAGAGTGATATAATATGTCCCTAGAAACTGAGATTATTTAGAAACTTCTACTACAGAACTGCTCCGGAGTGCCTAATTTTGTTTTCACTTTATAGGTTGTTTTAACTGAGCCATTACCTTATTATTTTTAACTTTACTGTCACTTTTACTTCTGTAACTTCCCACCGAAATGCAAATTAGCTAACGTGCATAAGAACAGAGTTCATGAAGTTATGTGAAAGCGCTTGGCAACGACAGATGACCGTTCTAAGAACTATTTTCGCTCTTTTGCCCAGCTCTTAGATTTACCTGAAATGGCTTTAGTCTTTGATAGTGGTGTTGCTTGCGTGATTCGAGGAGCCTGAGCCGAAACTTGCAATAGGACCTTTCCGTATGAGTTGTATACTTAAAAATTAGCTAAGTTTTATCTTGATTTTTATGCTGTGTTAATCACGCAAGAAACGGTGACTTTCTCTGTAATTACAGAGTCATGTAAGCTGTTGAGCTGAAGTTTGATAAAAAGTTTTCCTTTGAACATTCCTCTGCGTTCGGTACTATTACACCGAAAGACTAAGATGGAAAGATAAGTCGCCTGACTGTGTACACGGAGCCAGAATTTAGCACTGGTAGTTTGATTACGTACAACTTCAACTGCTTTGCTAATCTAAATGTGCATAAATTCTCATAAATAAAATAAGACATTCTCCTCCGATTCTCTTTTAAAAGTTCAGTCTTTTAGTTTTTAGAATGAAGCTAAATAATTGACAATCTCGTAAGAGCATCGAAGTCAGTATACATGCGAATGTTTGAATACTTAATGAAATTTCAAAATTTCTCTTTAATATACTGCTTTTATTTCATTTTCGAAAACTAAGATATTGCACTATTTTTAATTTTTTTTTCATCTAATTTTTAACTAATGCAAGTAGAAATAAAATAATTTGCAAATTCTTAAAATTAAATTTTTGAGCGCCTGATTTGATTAGATGTTTACCAGTTTCGCACAGTAATTCAAATGAACATAATCTTGCATACTTCTGGATATGTTCCATAACTATTAACTTTTGATTAAAAATTAGGTGATACTTCGGCGGGAAAAGATTTCTTTTTAATGTAGGTTGTTGGAATCCGTTTTTGCATGTTTTTTAACTTTGCATTCCGAATTCTTTTGTACTGTTCTTATTACGTAGTTTTTACACAGTTTTTACGCAGTTTTTGCGCCATATATACACAGTTTTTACACAATTTATAGTCTGAAATATTACTTGCTATTTTAGAGTTTTTCGAAAGCAAATGCTCGTTAATTTAAAGCTATATTAGCATGCAATAACTGGAAAATTTTATCCTTTCTTTTCCATTTCATAAATAAAGTTTTAAGGCATTTCGAGAAATTATGGCATGGAAGCCACTTCTTCAAAAGACTAATATGTAGCATATTTTTAGCATATTGAATTATTTATATTTTAAGATAAATTTGGAAAAATTAATGCAAACGATTCCTTCAAAAGCTATATTTTTTCCAATGAAAATTAAAGAGAACATCTTTATTTACGACATTACGTAACTCCATTTACATAACATTCATGGCTTCAATTTTATATTTTCATTTTCTCCTTAAATATAAAATTGTTATGCTGTCAGGGAAAGGGCGATTGGTTTATTGATTAAGGTAAAGCACATTATGGCTACATTTCGAAGGGAAGAAATGCTTTCGTGAAGAACTTTCTAATAGAAACTCACGCGTATTTTACGCTACACATAGAGTAAAATCAAGGAAAAGAAAAAGCACAGAGAGAAATGTTTCATTTTCTTAATCCTTGAAGCACCTAACGACGAATGTCTGGAAAACGACTCGGTAGAAAGCATAAATGTAAGATTGGGTTAAATGAATTTTGTTCGAATTATAAGGCATTTCTCCAGCCTTCTTGGCATGCCTTCGTGGTGTGGTGGTCTGCACGCTGGGCGTGTATTCCAGAGGTCCGCGGTTCAATTCCCGGCGAAGGCGTTGCTAATTTTTCATCTCGCCTACTTCCAAAAAATGCCTAATGTCTCTATAGAGTATTAAAATATTGTTTTCGGACCAATAAAATTAGCTGATACACAACCGTATTTCAAAGGCGCCATAAGATGATCTTAACAGAATGATTATTATACCCTCCGTACCTACATTAAAACAGCTTAGAATGTCGAGAGAGAATTAGTACCACGCAAAAACCGATGTCATTCTGCATCATTGTCCACGACAGTCTTCTTCTATTGCAAAATAAATATGACTTTCTCAAAACGAGTCTAGTGAACCCCAAATTCGGGTTTCTTAAACAATTTTCTGTAATTGCTTATAAACTTAAAAGCAGAATTTAAAATTTGAAAACTAGATTCCGCTCCTGGTTTCTTACAAACACGCTCTTAGAAGAATAAGTTTCCTTCGAAAAAAATGAAAAAGAATCCTGATTCTAAGCCTATTACACCATTACATTGTTAATTCTTAATGCTGTTCTAACGCACAGCGTGGTTTCGTAAATTACGCAGTTGCACGTAACCTTAGACATTAGTTTCATTCCCTAGAAATTTATACGCCTAGTCAGAGGGTAAATGAGTAAGGGCGTTCACGAGAATCGTGATCTGGAGCGCTGTTTATATTTCTATAATAGGCGAGTCACGTAACAATCTGTTCTGTATTCTAGGAAATCATAGAAACTTAGTAATACTAAATTTTAAATGTTTGTACTTAAAAGAGGTGTGAAGTTCTTTAATACTCTTTTGAGATATTGTGCTTTGAAACCATTAAATAGTACTTTGCATTTTAGAAATTTTTTGTCTATATATATTTTCTCTTTTCTACGTTGATTGCGATTCAACATGAGTGTATTTTCTGCTTTTATTCTTTTCATAAGTAATATTTATAAATAAGAAAAAATAAAAGAAATGAAACAAACTAGTTTTTCGTAAACATTGGAACAATATGGAAAAGGAAATATACAATTCTCTCTTTGATGACGATACAATAATAAATCATTTCTACTCTGTTCTGAGCCCCAACAGTGGCTGTGTAGTTTCGAACGTACTGGTAGTTTGACCTGGTTTCGAACTCAAGCGAATGGCATGACTGCATGGTTGTTTTATGAGTTTTTCAGTATTTCTAACGTGAATACAAGCCAGTTTCGCTTACAAAGTCCTCCAATAAGGAATATACATGCCCTTAGGCAGATAGACCTTGTGTGCTTTGTCATATTCAAATAAGCTAACTTACTCTGTCCTCAATCATATTTACACCGGAAAACTGGAGACATTCTCAAAGTCAGTATAATGTTTTCGGAATAGATCTCTCACCAAAATATGGTAAACTAAAGTTGTTAGATAATGTAAGCCTAAGGGGATCTTATTTCTCTCTAAAATGCATTAATTGTATTAAGCATATCTCATTACTTAATACAACGTGTGTATAATGTTCAATACGTATACAACGAGCTTCAAATTAAATTTTTGTTTTCTTATTATGATTGGACGTTACTACGGAAAACAAATTATCATACATAGTCATTTACGTACATATTTGTAAGTTAGAATGTTTTGAAAAAAATTCATTTTCATTCCTCATCTCTTTTTATTTCTTTTTCAGAAGCTCAAAGATGAAAGTAAAAAGAACGGCTTGACTAAATTATATTACAACATTGCTGCATTCTGTACCAGAATATCTTAAGTTTTTCCTTACAAGGTGCTTCCGGAATTCAACTCATGTGACAAATTTTCGACATATTTTAAGACAATGGAAAATTCTATGTACGCTCTTTACACGTATAAACTTTCCCAGAATGCCCTACAGATTCTGAGTTGAAGTTTCCATGAGGATTTTTCAAAATAAAATATTAAAACAAAATATAGCAACAGGATTAAGAAAATGAAAGCAGTGTCTGGCAGTTTCATTTAAAAGCAGATGATTGCATCTCAAGACAATGGTACGTCGAAAAAGAAGGAGGTTATGTAAGCTGGTTTTAACTTTTTGTGCAGCAGTATTTTGTATATGTATGCTTTTAAGAGCTCTTGTGACGACACTTGAACTTCATGCCTTTATTTTGATTACGGAAGATGATGATGGTGCTACTAAGATTAAGCCTGGAATGGTAATGCAGAGACATGTGAAAGTAAGTTAATGTTAAATATTTGCTTCAGTTTTATTTAAATTATAGCTATTATGATAACATTTCTGTGTGCCGACGCATTCAAAATAATTGAGGAGCAGTTGTTCTTTCGTGTGAAAGATTTCTAATCGTTTCATGTCACTGTCTTAGATTTCTGTTAATTACAGTTCTCGAATTGTTCCGTCATCAGGGTAACAGATATGGGTTTGTTTTATTTAATTAATAAATATTATTTATCACAGTTAACTTTGTGTATCAAGTACTATACAGAGTGAAAAAGTTTTAACGCATGCAATAATTGCTATAGTAAATCACAACCATTAAAAATTTTTACTTTTGATTTGAAGCACGGCTACATTTCTTATGCACTATGTGTCTCCAGACACAGTTGATGACAGACGAGTTAATTAACTCTCTCTTGAAATAGAAATTTTCATGTATTAAAACTAAACACAAAATTTCTCAGGCATTCAGTTATGATTTTTTGTAGAAAGAAATCATGAAAATATTAAAAATTTTTTGCCATTGCCGAAGAGCTGTAAAAAGCATTTGGGAGATTGAAGAAGAAACTGTAGAAGACAATACCATTACCCATTCGCCTCATTAGTTATATTCTAAACATGAAAATCGTGTAATTTTTTATTATAAATCTGAAAGTAATATATGGAATGTAAATTTTATAAGCATGTATTTATGGCATTATAACATAAATGGCTAACCAAATTAAAGAGTCTAGGAACACAAAGCATTCATTATAATTATTAACATTTCTAAATTTCCATACTTTTGAGAACTTTCACTTGAATTAACGTATTTTGAATAATTACAGAATTTACATTTTTCGTAAAAATGATTCCACGAATACCTAAGAAGCTTAATTTTATTAATTTATGGATTTAAATATGCCTAAAACTGAAACCATTAGTAAAATTAACAGTAAAATTTAGAGTTGTAATAATGGCAAATCAAAAATACATTTGAGGTATAGAAATAATTTTATTCGGAGATTTTATTTTTTAAAACCCAAATATACAGTTATATTGCTGGTAAATTAGTAACAATTACACACTATTGAGTTCTGCAACTGAATTAAGCAGCAAGCACAGAATTCTATGTATGCTTCTAAGTTTAAAGGACTTTCAGTTTGTTCAATCACATAGTTCCAAATATTACCACTGAAACAGTTGCACTCTTTTAAACTTGTCAATAAAATATGGCAAGTAAAATCTTGTTGTTTATAAAAATGAAATTCAGGTTTTAAATAACGGAATTTCTTTTCTTTTAATTCCCTTTTATTATATTACTATATCTATGTTATTCTATATTTCTGGCCACTAAAACTGTTACGCCATTTAGAAAATTTACAACAAACCTGAAATTTGCAAGAAAGATAGAATATGCTGGAATATGCAGATACTTAGAATTTCACAGCTTGCGCACATTTACAGGTAAAAATACTGAAACCTCGAAGCAGTATAAAAAATAAGATTAAAATGCCGACTTTTCATTCGGAAACGCGTTGATGTTATTTTTATATCATAAATCATTTTATGCCTCGTGAAGAAAGAATTCACAACAGCATGTTTCAGAATGCGTTTGCATGTGAATCGTAGCCTGCGTAGACTGCGAATAATCGTTCTGCGCAACAGCTGTTAGCGTTGGTTGAGATCCCAATCCAATTATACGTATGAGATTTTGGAATCGATGGATCCAGAAGGACCATACAAAGCATCGTGTTGGTTCTTGAATCAGAAAATTCATTATTTTTTCTCCTCAATATATTTTGCGATAACATCAGACTACTTCTCGAATTAGCTTTTGAGGTTTCGTCAAATACGCAGTTGGTCCATATTTTGGACAGAAGTTATATGGTGTAATTTGTAGGCGCAACAATGTTTTTAAAAATCCCAATACGTTTAAGCGTACAGAAATAAATCTGAGTTATTGGCCGTCGTAAAAGCGAGTTGTCGTAAATCGAGGATTACTTGTATGTGTATGTATGTTTATACCAGGTGACCCAAAAGTCCGTTAACACTTGAAAATTCAATAATTCACTGAATAATATAGGTAGAGAGGTAAAAACTGACATACATGCTTGAAATGTCATGGGATTTTATTGAAAGCAAAAACGTTCTTAAAGCGGCCAACAGATGGCGCTTCCTATGATAATAAAAACAATAATTAGCATAGCAATTGAGTTTTATCAGACTATATTCTTTATAACGAATGTTCGACATGCCGGCCTTCATTCATCAACAATAACTGTATTCGAGGGGCAATGTTGTGAACAGCACAGTACAACATATCTGTAGGTATAGTGAGAAATTGCCGTCGGGATGTTGTCTTTTAACATCCCTAATAAAGTCGGACGATCGAGGTAGACTTGCGATTTCACTAAACCCCACAACCAATACTCACAGGTATTGAGATCTGGGGACCTGAGAAGACAAGCATGACAGAAGTGCTGGCTCTGCACTCGATCCTCACCAAACGATATGTACAAGAGATCTTTCACAATTGTAACAATACGGGGCGAAGCACCATCCTGCATAAAACTCATATCTTCACACAGGTCCCTTCATAGCCATATGGCAGGTTTCGCCTGATAGGTGGGCTGGGGGCCAGTGCTTAGAACTAACTAACTAACTAACCTTCCAACAGGTGTTTATCAGCTAGACTAGGGATGATGCGATTCTGCAACATAGCAGAGTAACCTCGTATCCATCACACTGACACTTTGAATGGAAGAACATGCATTTTCTCGAAGTAAAAGAGTCTGATCGCGATTGATGTGATAAATCCACATCACACCGTCACGAACACCCGGAGGCGAGGATAGAAAAGTCACAAACTCATGAAAGGACTGATCCCCTCTCTCACTACAGTTCATTTCATACACGATTCTCACGCAGCGTCACTGACATTTTGCTGCCCATCGCCAAATGATGGCCATTTTCGCAATTTTTTTTTCTTTCATAAAAAACCCCATGTCATTTCAAGCATGCGTGTCAATTTTTAACTCTCTATATGCAATATTCCGTGAATTATTGAATTTTAATTATATATATTCCTTGAATTATTGAATCTGTAAACTCTTGAATTGCGCTATTCTCGCCATTAGGCTTGTGACGCCGATCTTAAGTCAGAGCCACCTTGAGCGTTACTTGGATTGGGTAACCGTTAGGCTAACTTACTATTACGTGGTTAAGTTAAATGCTTTATCTTTGGTTTAAGCCCTAACTATATAAGGTATTTCTCCCGCCTTCCTAGCGTGCCTTCGTGGTGTAGTGGTTCTGCACGCGGGGCCGGTATTCCAGAGGTCCGTGTTTCGATTTTCCGGTGAAGGCTAACTTTTTCATCTTTTCTGCTTCCAAAACACCTAATGTTTCTACAGTGACACCCGAAAAGGGTGTTGGAGGAGGATTCTCCGCACCCAGGATTTGGCGATTGGGTCCCCTAAAAACCCCAGTCTTCCTTTTAAAGGGGGAGTATATAAGGCATTTCTCCCGCCTTCCTAGCGTGCCTTCGTGGTGTAGTGGTCCTGTACGCTGGGCTGGTATTTCAGAGGTCCGTGTTTCGATTCCCGGCGAAGGTGTGTGCTAATTTTTCATCTTTCCTGCTTCCAAAATACCTAATGTCTCTACAACTGTTGGATATATATTTTGTAAACGCGAGTGGTGCCATCTGTTAACTTCCATTTGAGTTGAATAAAAGATCCTTTACACTTTTTTTCAGTATCCTTTTTCAATGTACTAAAGGGTTTAAAGACTTAGCGGTAATTCATGTAAAGTCTTGTAATATATTTCATACATTTTATGCTTACAAAGAAAACGAAATGCTATCTTTTATATAATTCATTCAGTCTCGTGAACCTGCAATAGCTATCATAACCTTTCTAGTATTAAAAAGTGAAAATAAATGTCTAAACTACCTTTTTAAAAAAAAATTAAATAAACTGTTGCGGAAACTACTTAGAATCTAATTTATTAGCTATACAGAAAATATTCCAGTGTATAACGAAACATGTTTTTTTATCTTAAAGACAATAAAATAAGAGCAGGTTTCTGAAATACCTGATAAGAATAAAAATAATAATTATTCTCAGACAGTTACTGAAAAAATAAATAACTTTGAACAAAACGAAATTCAGTTCAATATCATGATATCTGGGGGCAAAAATATTTTCAAATATGAAAATGGCCTAAAGGCTTTTCAATAATTAAACAGATAAAAAATGTGATGTTGAAGTTGTACAAATTAATTAAACTGTAAACAATTGAATGAAAATAAAACTGTCATTTCATAAATCATATGTATTTTGTTTCAAAGCTGAGAGAAAACAAAAAGAAGAAACTTTCAGCAATAACTTTTTTATTTTTGGTACATTGATACTTTGTTGCCCAATAAAGGAAGCTAAAAAAGAAATTTAATTAATCTCAGAAGATTTATCAATAGCAAAACATTAATGATAACGATATTTTCAATGCGAAACAATTTGCGAAAAATTCAAAGTTTTCCAGTAGTTTTTTAACCAAAAGTAACTTTTTAACAAACTCCTAAGCACGATACTTTAACATTTTTAAAACTTGCAGTGTTTGAAGTATCAAAGAGTCAATTGTATTTTTATCAATTCTCTTCCAGATCTGTTTAAAAAATATTTTGCGGAAGTGTGAAAAATATTTTATTTTTCTTCCCGTTCCTTTTATGTGTAAAGCACATAAGTGCCTAACTAACCCTTTTTGCCATGAATAAACGAAGTTTAATAGCACACATACATTCATCGTTAAAGGATTTAGTTGAGAAAAAATATAGGAAAGCTATTTTTTAGCACTCAAAAACACCAAAGTGAATTCCCCCCCCCAACGTTCCTTGTGAATTAAAAAACAAGGTTTTGCTAAAATTCCTCGTTCAGGAATGAAAAAGATTTTTCTCCGCAGGGAACGAATGTTAAGGAAAAATAGAGCTTAACTTTGTACGATGCGCTCTGTCACCTTTTATGTTAC